AATACAGCTGCTGTGAGTCTTTCTGTGGACATGTGCTTTCATTTCCCTTGGGTAAGCACCTAGGAATGGCATGGCTGGTTCATAATGTTTGGAATATGTTTACTTCCTGAGAAACTGTCAGGCGTTTTCCTCCGTGGTGGTGTCGTTTTACCTTCCCCCTGCGGTGTCTAAGCGTTCATGGCCCAGGGCAGCGCAGTGCTCTGGGTCTGTTTACATGTCTGGCTGGGACCAAGGACGTGTGCTCTGCCCTGGTGGCAGCCTTGTGTGGCATCCTCTGCTCTTGGCACGTGTGAAACCGCATGGTTGGCATGCCAGCTGATGACTTTAAATGCGGCTTATTTTTTTGGTTCCAATTCATAGCTGTATATTTTACTTAAACTCTTTTTTTTTTTTTTCAAGAACATCTTACTCAACATTTTTGTGTCATTCTTAAAATGTTTCTTTTAGTGGAAGCCATGGCGTTTTCTAATTGGCAAAGTTGAATTTTGAGAGAGATAAAATCCCAGTGTTCTATGTTGTCACTGTAAAAATAACCCATTGCTGTCGAGTCAATTCCAACTCATAGCGACCCTATAGGACAGAGTAGAACTGCCCCATAGGGTTGCCAAGGAGCAGCTGGTGGATTCAGATGGCCAACCTTTTTGTTAGCAGCTGAGCTCTTAACCACTGCGCCACCAGGGCTCTATTGTGACTATAGAATAACTAATCTGCCAGATTCATCATTAGCATTACGCAATTTAAAACTATTTTCAACTCTTGGTAATTAAGATTTTTTTGTGTCTGTGGTCTTTAATATAAAGGTAAAATATATTTGGTGTAAAAACCTGGAACATGTAGGAAAGCGTGAGGAAGAAGAACATTCAGGTCTATTCTCATGTACAGCGACAACTATAGTTAGTATTCTGGCGTGTTTCCTCTCAGGTACAGACGTATTTTTAAAACTCTTACTCCCCCTTCCATTTCAGTGGAAGACTTACCACCCTGCCTTTTCCCAGTTGGAAATCTGGTTCCGATTTGTCTTTGTGGTGCTGACCTTCATTGTCACCGTAAGTTCCGTTTGCCTGACAGACTACATCAGGATTCAGACAAGGACAAAGTGTGTTTACGCGATTAGGGTTATCAGAGTGTGAGCCTACGGAAGAGTCATCCACACTCTCTGAGACCCTTCATCAAAGGGGCTGACTGAATGTCACTCAATGTCCTGTCTGTCCACTACCATGCTGCAGTGCCTAAAGGACAACAGCCCAGGTGACCTGGGGCCTTTGGCAAGGCTCTGTGCAGAGCAATAGTGACTGCAGAGCACTGACTTCTCGGTAAATTCTCATCCTGGTGCCATGAGCGATACCAGTTAGCACATATGGGAGGGATGCTGCATGAATCCAAATCACCTTTCTTTGCCTCGACATGCAACATATTCTGGGGATTTTATGTTTGGCAAATTGTACGGGACCTTTCGATCTTTTCTCTTTTTCTGGAAATGCAGGCTTTTGGCTCACTTGGGGTCTGAGGGTTGTGTCCACAAGTACACTGTAGCTTTCAGGGGGAATGCCTACCATTAAAAACACAAGAGAGCCCCACAAAGACCCCACCTGTGCAGATGAGCATTTATCAAGTGAAGGAAGAGGCCGTGCGCTGCATTTAGTGGGACAATCCCTGGCTTGTTGCCTCTGCAGTGCTGCTCTGCCTTCAGCTGCTTGCTGGTGGGTGGGGCGTGTCATTGAGGAGACCTTTCCCACCGTCACTCACGGAACTCCTGGTAGTGAGTGGACCTTGTCCAGAAGGATGCAGGCACGTGGTGGGCGTGTGAGGAATTGCAGGCAGTGGTGCTTTGTGGGGTCAGGTGTGGGTGGGAGGGCAGGATGTGGGCACTCGCATGGGGGTGGGGGACAACGGTGCTCAGGCAGAGCCCAGGGGCCTCAGGGCTTCCTGGGTCCCTGAGTGAACTTAGAAAGTAGGAAGCTGACGTTTATACCTGGTTGGTCAGTAACCCTTGCTTGCTCTTGAAGGATCTCTTGCCTGGCATTCTGCTGCCACTCTGGGGCTGAGAGAACTGGTACCCAAGGCCCTGACTTAATATGTTTGTAAGCAAGACGGGGGCCTGAGCCTTATCAGATAACTTGGACTGGGAAGTCGCCCACCAGGCCAGATAATCCCGATTGTCTAGAAAATTACTGGTTTATTTCAGATCACAGGAAAAAACCTAGGCCTAAAAATCACAAAATGAGCATATCTTTAAAGCAGTTAAAGGAGCTTCTCCCTTGGACCCAGTGCACCTCCTTCAGGGAGGTATTTTGCAAATGAACGCACCCTCTGACGTGGTGTGCACCGTGCTGTCCGGGCTTTTCCTCTGGGAACCCTGGTGCCCCGTTACAGCTGATGCATCTGTAGAACTGCACCACCGGGAGGGTGTGGCCTCCTCGTGGGGCCCCCGGCTGTGGTCTGGGCCCTGAGTAAGTCCCCTGTGTGGCCTCGCCAGGAGCCAGCCTGGCAGAGGCGGTAGGGGCGTGCTCTTTTTCTTTTACAGCCGTTGTATTCCTGGTCCCTCTGTGCTCTTATGGGGATAGCTGTGACCCGTCTTACCTGTGGTGCCTTTGTAGTAATTCCCACCATCTGCTCTCGGTGTCATTGATGACCTCAGGGACCACGGTAGCCAATCCAGCCGGCACATAACCATCCCAAAGGTCTTGGCTGACACCCAGACCGTTGACTGGGAAGACGTGTAGTCGGGAGGGCAGTGTAGTGGGTCACAGCGTGAGCAGGGTGGCAACCGCCGGGCAGCGACGACCTGGCTTCCTTTGCAGTGCCTGTTTGCACACTCCCTGCGGAAGTTTTCCATGAGAGACTGGGGGATTGAGCAGAAGTGGATGTCCATTCTGCTGCCTCTGCTGCTGCTTTACAATGGTAGGTGCCGTTTTTGTTTTGGAACTCTCCTCCTTAAGAGTTCAAAGCTGAAGGGAATCTGGGAAGGAGGTGGCCAAGGCTCAGAACCCTCCGGGGAAGCAGCTGCCGGGACCCCTAAAGGAACATCTGGTCTCTGCTCTCAGCTCCCCAAGACAAGGCAGGTGCCTAGGATTTTTAACAAACCTGGACTTGCTCTGGCAGTTCGAGCTTGGCCAGGCTACAGACACAGCAGCCTGGAATCTGGCTGAAGGTGGCCAGCCCTGCTGTCTGTTCTCTTTACTTGCTCCAGAGGTGTTGGCTTCCAGAGCTGGCATGCTCCACTGCGCCCGCAGGGAGGAGTGGCGCTGGGAGCTTATGGTTCTCTGTAACGTCTCTGGTGCAGTCTGTTAGCTGGCACCTGGGGTTTCTGAAAAACAAAGTAGCCTTTGGTTCCCCGTGTTCCTTTGGATCTGACCCAGGAGAGGCTGACAGTGAGCTCTGAGCCTTGCAGAGGGAGTGGGGCTCCCTGGCTGGAGCAGGGGTACAGGGAGTGCTGCTCACTTGGAGGGACTGGGGCGCCCTGGCTGGAGGTGGGGTATGGGGCATGTTGTTCACTTGGAGGAAGTGGGGTGCTTTGACTGTAGGGGGTGTGTGGAGTGTGTCATTCACTTGGAGGGAGTGGGGCACCCTGGCTGGACGGGGGGTGTGGGGAGTGCTGCTCACTTGGAGGGAGTGGGGTACCCTCCCTGGGGCTAGGTGCGGGCTGGCCATGTTGATCAAGTAACGAGAGGGAAGGGACACCCTGGCTGGGGCTGGGTGCAGGCTGTGTTGATCACATGGAGAAAGGGACCCCCCCCCTACCCCGCTGGAGGCTGGGTGCAGGCCTGTGCTGATCACACAGAGGGAGGGAGGGGAGTGTCCTGGCTGGGGTGAGGTGAGGGCTGGAGGTGGGTGCATTGCTCACGCCCTGTCCGCTTGTTCCAGATCCCTTCTTCCCCCTGTCCTTCCTGGTGAACAGCTGGCTGCCGGGCATGCTGGACGACCTCTTCCAGTCGCTGTTCCTGTGCGCCCTGCTGCTTTTCTGGCTCTGCGTGTACCATGGCATCCGGGTGCAGGTGAGTGCTCGGCCGCAGTGCCCCAGCCCTTCCTCCCCAGCGCCTGTTTGTCTCCACTCCTGGGGGGCTTAACGACGAAGCCGCCCTGGAAAATCAGTCTTCATCTCCACCCAGAACAGAAGAATTCGTGCTCCATAGAAATGATTTGAGTCTCTATCTAATGTGGTTCATCGGGGGCTAGTGGTGTGCTAGTTACTAACCTCATTTTTTTTTTTTTTTTGCGTTTTAGGGAGAAAGAAAGTGTTTAACTTTCTATTTGCCCAAGTTCTTTATTGTTGGACTGTTGTGGTTGGCTTCTGTGACGCTCGGAATATGGCAAACGTGAGTAATTTTATTTGTGTGAAACGCCAGTCGTGAAGCATTTGGCAAAGGTGGACAGACCAAAGTCTAACTGTATTCCATGAAATCATCCCGAAAGGCATCTGTCAGCCGGGATCCAGCAGCTGGTAGAGTGACAGGGACCGAGGGGTTCATTCTTGCTTGAATGGCTTAAGTCTCCTAGTGTGAGATGGGAAACGGGAAAGACCGCCTTCGGCAAAGAGTCCTCCTCTGGAGGGACTGAGACTTAGCTGTAGAAACGATGCTCAGGCCGGGTCCTGGGGCCCCGCCGTCCGCCCAGGGCTTTTGCTGCTCCTTCAGCTTGCCTCGGTAACCGTCCCAGTCCTTACACCAGCCCCCATGGGGTGTTGTTACTAGTACTTCTGTCCTTCTGTGAAGTGGCACCACAGTGGGAAGCTCGTGTTGTAACAGCCCGAGTCACCTGAGCAGAATTTCCTCCAGTGTCCGCTTCCGGGTGGGATGAGGCCCGGCGGGTCTAGTGTTGCGCCCCCGTGACCTGAGTAGTGACAGGACGACCTCCCTCTTCTCTGTCTGGGCCTCCGTCCCACCCACCTGTCACCCGTGCCCGTTCTCATGCTGAAACGAATTAGATTCCGCAGCGTCGTCCTCTGTGCTCACATCCACTTCTGGTGGCCACGTGTGCCCTGAAAAGGTGCCGGCGAGCAGCTCTTAGAGTTGCGAGAGAAACAGCATAGGGCTTTTTGTGACAAAAAACATGGCGTTTCTATGAGGGCAACACCACAATGCTGAGGATGGTGGGCGGGCGGCTGGGTTAGTAGTATTGTATGTGTTACACATGTGAAATGTGAAATTAAGGATTTCTCTCAAATTTATAATTGCTTTTTAAAAATCCCTTACCCTTGATTAGTAAGTAGTTTATATTAAAGGGTTAAAAAAAAAAAAAACAAGTGAAAAAAACATAAAATAAGAAGTAAAACCAGTCATATTAATCTATTTTTTCACAACATTGTTTTTTAGAGTTAATGAATTACATGATCCAATGTACCAGTATCGAGTTGACACAGGAAATTTTCAGGTAAGGAGAGTTAATGAACCTAAGGATTTTTTAAAATGCTGTTTTATAAAATGACTGAATTTCATAACTTCGATTGTGCTGTTGGCATGAGCTTGCTGACAGGCTGCTTGGGAAGGACCATAGAAAGTTCACAGGTGGAATATTTGTCTGGATAAATCAGTTTGAGTAGTATAAGGAGTAGACTTTTACAAGCTGTGTTTTCACTGCTAGTCTGTGGTTAGGGTTGATGTGCCAGGGCACAGAAGGGGTGTCACATTTTAGGAAGACTGTAACACAAGTAAGGAAACGTTTTTGTTCACGCTGTTCTTTAAAGTAGCAGGCAGCTTCCAGTGAGTTTCAGCGTGGCCAGGGCGATGTCATGTGCTCAGGTGTGCGCCCTAAGCACGTCCCCACATCTGGTCTGATGCTCTGTAGTCGCTGTCCTGAAATGGTTAATATTCACTGAACAAGAGGCCCTGTGTTTATTTTTTATTGTTGTGCTTTAAGTGAAAGTTTACAATTCAGGTTAGTCTCTCATACAAAAATTTATATACACATTGCTGTGTGACCCTAGTGGCTTTCCCTATACTGTGACAGCACACTCCTCCTTTCCACCCCAGATTTCTCATGTCCATTCAGCAAGCTTCTGACCCTCTGCCTTCTCATCTCACCTCCGGACAGGAGCTGTCTATTTAGTCTCATGTATCTGCTTGAGCCAAGAAGCACGCTCTTCACGAGTATCATTTTATGTCCCACAGTCCAGTGCAATCTTTGACTGAGGAGGTGGAGGCCCTGTGGTTTTATCTCACACCAAGACCAAATACCAAACCAGTTGCTGTCGAGGTGACTCAGACTCATGACGATCCCATGTGTGTCAGAGTAGAACTGCGCTGCACAGGGTTTTCAATGGATAATTTTTCGGAAGTAGATTTCCAGGCCTTTCTTTCGGGGCACCTCTGGGTGGACTGGAACCGCAGCATTTCAGTGAGCAGCCTAACACTTAACCGTTTGTGCCACCCAGGGACGCCTTATTTCACATAGGGCCTCACAAATTAAACAGCCAGTCCTGCGTGTGGCCTTCTCTGAGTCTGCGGGTCATACGTGTCCCCTCTGTGCCACACAGTTGGCTGAGCCAGGTGTGCACCGCGTGCTCAGGGACAGAGGGCCCAGCTCAGGAGTGCGGACGGGTGGAAATGGGTCACTTTGCTGCAACACACGTTTGAATCCTGATTTCACGGCAAGTCCAGCCTTTCCCAGCGTGGCTTTGCAGAGCTCCCTGTGAAGCGATAGAATCCCTGGTTGTTTATGGAAAGTGGCCTTGAGCAAGAGCGAGGGGAAGGTTAGTGGATGATGACGCGTTGACAAGACATGTAATTTGCATTGAGACTGTGTGTCATAGGAAGCAGAGTAAGTGCCGGCTGCTTCACCGATAGGTAGGGCCGTGCCTGTGGCCTTTACGTTTCATTTTTATGAGTCTGAGGAGTTTTTCAGGCCTCTGAACGTCGACCTCACAAACAGCGTGCCGTGAACCTTGCACTCAGAGGACCTGTGGCCTGGGTAGGGAGAAAGGCTTAGACAGCAGGGAGCAGACCCCAGAGCTCCCAGCTCCCTGCCAGCTGCCTGTCGTTCTTGGCAGAGGGGTGAGGAGGGCCGCGGAGCTTAGTTAATTTAGAGGAGGGGCATTTTTATTTGCATTTTATCCTTTTTCTTTGGGTTTAACTAGCTTTACAGTGCTTTAATGAGTTTTTGTTTGCGGGGGCGGGGTACACCTTGAGCTGGCGAGGAAGGAGAGGAGGGGAAGGGCATACGGGTCCAGGGAAGAGAAATGCTGTTCCAGAGCCTGTGGGAGCACCAGGAGGAGGGGTCCCGGCACCGTGGTGACTTGAGGCAGAGCGCACAGGGCCCACCAGGACTCAGGGCACTGTAGTATAGGTGGACACTGAGTAGGGGGCCTGCGTGAGGCCTGTGCTCGGGAAGGACGTCTGGACCATTGAGGAGGCTTGGGGGCCACGTTGCTGGGTCAGGGGCTCAGAGGGTGGGGTGGGGCGGGGAATGGAAGGAGAGGGGTAAGGAGCTGCTTTGAAGCGTGCACACATGCCCACTGGTGACAGAGCGCACATGAGGTCATTGGTTGAATGTCACTCCTGGATTTACATAAAATATCACAATTTGTGTGAATGTAGTGTTACTGAAGCCTTGCTCTGGCACGGTCTCCTTCCCTACCTGAGGAGAAGGGGGAGGTGAAGGTCTTGGCCCTGGACCATCACCTGGGGTGGCAGCTGTACCTGGGCCTGCACCGTCCCCCTGGATGGCCTGAGCACAAATCTTGAGTCCTGGGGGTCCGCCCACCTGCTTCTTTCCCCTGTCCTTCCATCTATAAGGTGGGGAATAATGGTGTCTACTCTAGGGAGATGTCGCGGGGTTATGTTAGACAGTGCGTCTGAAGCAGTTAGCTGGGACCGGCGTTAATGCCCACTCAGTGAGGTTGCCGTTTCCACTGTACCTTTGGCCTCCTTCCCTCAGTCAGGCCTTGGGGAGAGGCTGGCCACCAGGGGTTCAAGGCCACTGACACCTCTCTGGGAGGAACACGTCAGGGCCGTCACTGCTGTCACTGAAGGAAGTGCAAAATGCTTTAAGACCTAGAGACTTGTAGGGGACCCCAGCTGATCTAGTCCAATCACTGTACTTAGAGATGAAAAAACAGCCCAGGGAGCAGAGAACCTTGTCTAAACTCCGTAGGCAGAGATGAGGCTGACACAGAGCCCTGCCAGCTCCGTCCCTGGCCCTGTGAGAGGGCTTCTGGCTCCAAGAGGAAGGGAGGGAAGGGAGCTGAGGTGTGGGAGGGAGTGCTCCACAGGGGGAGCCTGAGGACTCCACGGGGGCTGTGTCAGAGGGGGCCGCACTGACCTGACAGCCACAACTTCTGGCTCATCTAGCTCAGCCTCTCACTTCCTAAGAAACTGAGGGCCAAAGAAGGGGAGTGTGCCTGGAGGTGTCTCAGGGTTCAGCCCTGGGCTCTGTCTTTGACATGTACTCTATCGTCATGAGCGAGCGGGGCGGGCTGTCACTGGGGAGAGACAGGCAGTGGCCACCATCACTCACTGGGCACCACTGCTCAGCCCTGAGCTGGGGGCTTTACTCATGAGGTGGAGGGAGTTTGGTTCTTAGTGACCTGGTCACCAGTGCGCTGCCTGTGTTCACGGAGAGAGACGGAGGCTGAGCCTGGAGATGCAGGTCCGTGGGCCAGGCCCATTCCCATTCTGCTTCATGGTGTGACCTTCACGCTCTGAGCCCCTGTGGGAACATTTGGCTTCCTGCCTGTGGTGGTGGTGGAGGGAGAGCAGCTCTGAGACCTCTGTGCTTCATACTGAAACAACAACCTGCCTTGCTTTGTTCTAGGGAATGAAGATTTTCTTCATGGTGGTGGCAGCCACGTATATCTTATACCTTCTGTTCTTGATCGTGCGGGCATGTTCTGAGCTCCACCACATGCCTTACGTAGGTAAGCACCCATTACATATGCTTTCTAGTAGACTTTATTTCTTAGAGCAGAGAGGCTTACAGAGGAATTGTGCAGAAACTACAGGGTGCTCCCGTATATCCCCCTTCTCCCTGCCCACTGTTTCTCCTGGTATTAACTTCTTGCACGTGTGTGGTACGTTGGTTACAATTGATGAACCAATACCAATACATTATTGTTAAGTAAAGACCATTGTTCACATTAGAGATCACTCTTTGTGTTGTACAGCCCTATGGATTTGGACAAATGCATGATGTCATGTGTGCGCCATGACAGTATCATACAGAGTGGTTTCACTGCCCTAAAAATGCCCTGTGCTCCACCTGCTCATCCCTCCCCTCTCCCCTGGAGCCCTGGGAAACCATTCATCTGTTACTGTCTCTATAGTCTTGTGTTTTCCAGAATGTCCTATAGTTGGAATCATACCATGTGCAGCCTTTTCAGACAGGCTTCTTTCATTCTGGTCCCTCCCTGTCTTTTCATAGCTTGATAACTTAACTCTTTTTTTCTCTGAATAATACTCCACTGTGTGGATGGACCACAGTTTATCAATTCACCAATTGAAGGATATCTTAGTTGCTTCCAATTTTTGGAACATATGCTTTTAAAATGGGTTTCACCTACCCACCCCTGTGCGGGAGTGAGTTAGGACGTGACGTCAAGTGGTGGAGGAGTGTCTGAGGTCAGCTCAGTAATCTTATCTTGGGGAATCCCAGAGATTTGTCCCTCTTCCTACAAGCTGGGGGCCATGTCTAATGAATCACTCTGGGCCATTTGGATGGTACTGGGGGACAGCGCTGGAGGGAGGGCCTTGGGGGGAGGCCGGCCTGGGGCCCTGGGTGGCCAGCGGGGCTGTGGAGAGCTGCCTGGTCTTTCCAGAACTGGCCCCTTGCAGAGAAGCCAGCAGGGCTATTTTCTTAGTCTCTGAGTCAGGGGCCATTGGGATCCTTTCCCCAAATCTGTCACAGCCACATTAACAAGGCCCTGGCCTTGCTGGAAACCCTGGTCTTGGACCCAATGAGGTGGGGCAGCATTTCTCCTGGGCTCCAGGTAAAAACAGGGGTTTACAGTCCAGAGGGAAGAGGGTTTTCATTCAGGGGGTTTTGCTTCATTTTTGTTTTTACTTTTAAGATTTCTGAGATGAGAATGGAATTTACTTCTGAGTTGTTGAATAGGATTATTTCTTTCTTTTTCAGATCTCAGGTTAAAATTTTTGACTGCATTGACGTTTGTAGTGCTTGTCATTAGGTAAGACTTGATTTCTTGAAAGAAGCAAAACAATGAATTTTGATTCAAATGACTTAAGTCTCTTTTCTCTCTTTTGAGGAGTTAGTTTCAGGGTACTTCTCCTCAGATGAGGTCTGAGGGCCTCTTACCGAGGATGGGAGGTGGGGGCGGGGGTGTAATGGCCAAGAGAGCAAATGTTTGTTGTCCATGTCTGGGGTGGAGAGCGTTAAAGAAAATGCTCCCCCCTGGCCGCGTGGCAGCTGGCTGCCTGCTTTCATGTCCATTCACCAAGAAGCCCAGCTCTCATGGCGTGTCGGAGGATTCGAATTCCATAACAAGCTGGCACCTTAGCATTGCTTTGGTGCTTCAAGGGCCTGACTGTGAGCACATGTTACTTCTGTTCCTGTTCAGTACAACGAATGTTGTGGGATCTGCACCACTCTTGATCCCGTGGGGAGGGTGGGGCCTTCAGAGGAGGTGCTAAGCTAGCAAGGAAGGCCCTGCCTGGAGAGCTCTGCCCGGGTGGGTGGGCGGGCGGGCGGCAGGGCTGACGGGGCGCAGCGCACGCAGGGCTGGGGGTGCCGGTGACTGAAGAGTTGAGCGGCCTGGGAAGTTGTTTCTGTGACTAAATTCCAGATAATTGTTTGGGTACTTATGGTCTGTCTCCTTCTTCTAAGTCAAAGTCCTGAGGGAAAACAGTCTAGTTATCTGCTTTTCCCTTTGGTTGCTTAGATGGCAATAAGTGGTTGCCAGCCCCTCTCCTCTGCTGGGAACCATTGGCACCCAGTCTCTGTGAGTGTGGGAACTCCCCCTATCACCAACGTCCCCACCACCCTGCCAGCACCCATGTCCCCAGCACCTGTCCAGGAGGAGCACTCAGTGCTACGAGAGCACGTGAGCTCAGCATGGACTTTCAGCTGCACCTACCTGCGTGTCAGTCATCACAACAGCATCTAAGTTCACATGGAGGTAATAGTGCAGGCAGGTGTGGGTGCTACTGATTTAGTCTCTGCCCAGCGCTTGGCACGTATGCTGTCTCTCTAACTTCTCACAGCCCCTTACACACACACACACACACACACACACACACACACGGGTGCGCATGCTGTCTCTGTGTGACTTCTCACGGACACACAGACACACGTTTCTGTAACTTCTCACAGCCCCTCACACACACACGCTATCTCTGTAACTTCTCACAGCCCCTCACACACGCACACACTATCTCTGTAACTTCTCACAGCCCCTCACACACACGCTATCTCTGTAACTTCTCACAGCCCGTCACACACGCACACGTGCTGTCTCTGTAACTTCTCACAGCCCGTCACACACGCACACGTGCTGTCTCTGTAACTTCTCACAGCCCCTCACACACACACGTGCTGTCTCTGTAACTTCTCACAGCCCCTCACACACACGC